TGAAGTAGATGTCTTAGGAATTTACACTGGGGCTGTTGCCATTGATCCAAGAATTAGAAGGTTAATCGGACTCATATCTCTTTCAAGTGTTGACAAGTCTTTTAGATATTATTCAGTATAAATTCATGTTTTGGCATTCCTTAACAATTCATAGAATTGCTAGTGAATAACTTCATTTGACACTGTTGGCCTATTAGAACTCACTGGATATCTAGAGAGGATATTTCTTGTATAGTGTAGACTTAAACCTTGCACATTTGAATGGATTTTTGTTTTCAGTTTTAGCATCATATGACCATTTTATTTGAGACAAGATCCTAAAATCAGTGTTTTGTTTTTATAGAGCATGGTAGAATCAATTAAACACTGCATTGTGTTGCTGCAGATTGCTAAAGTAAGTAAATTTTACTTTTGATTACCTTCATGTAATGTGATTTAAAAATTATAATGGCATTTTTCTTTAATAGCCAAAAAAAGTCTGTTCTGTAAATTATTACCTTTGTTCAGTAAACTGTATTGTGGGCTTTCTCTTGTGTTTGGATGTTCTCTTACCCACATTTGCCTGTTTCTTGTTTCTGGTAATGTAATTTTGGGTGGTAGCTGGGAAGGAGAGGAGCATGTTTGAATGATTCACTCCTTCCTTTTTATCCGTTATTGCTTCTTGGAACAGGGACAAATTTTACCAAATTTTTCACACAAAAAAAGTTTTCCTATGACCTCACTCATATATGGAATCTAAGGAAAAAAAAGTTGACGTTATAGAGGCAGAGAATAGAACAGTGGTGACCAGAGACTGGGGGTGGAGAGACAGGAAAGGCTGGCCAATGGATACAAAATTATAATTAGGTAGGAGAAATAAGTTCTGATGTTCTGTTGCACAGTAAGGTAACTGTGGTTAACATATATTACATAATATATTACATAATAGCTAGAGGGGAGCCTTTTGAATATTTTTACCACAAAGAAATGATAAATCCATGAGGTGATTGATACGTGAACTACCCTGACCCAATTATTATACAACCTATGTATGTACCAAAACATTAGATTGTTCCCCGTATGTGCAATTACAAGGTCTAAGTTAAAATAAAAATTCAAAAAAAGTTTTTCTTAGAAAATAAGAGAATTAAGTTTTAGTATTTATTTTTCTTATCCATAATGAAGGGTATAATAGAGATATGTTTTTAAAAATTGTGCTTGTTATAGATTTTTTCTAGTCTGAACTACATTAATGAACTTTAATTGCTGTCCTTTATTCATAAAACAAAATATATTTTGAATTATTGTGGGTTAAAAATTTCATGTATATTGTCTGCTTTTCTGAACAATTTTCGTGTATTCAACCTAATATATTGCCTGAAATTTTCAGAAACAAGAATTTTATTGTTTGAGAATAAGAATT